TTCAATTAGTCAGTCGTCAGAAATCGGAAATCGGGAAACAACAAATGGACAGAGAGAATGATTATAATCCATGTCTCAGTCCATATGATATTTAGAATGGAGGAATATATGATCCCTTATCTAATGGACGCGTCATTGATTTGTTCAGAGTTCGACAGCGGCTTTAAGAGCTACGATTGCTAGTCGGGTTATGAAGTCGTACTTGCAATAATAGTTTTAGACTTATCCAAGTGGGAGACTGTTGGATTAGATGTCTAAGCCCATAACTATTATTGGTATGTACTTGACCCGAGAGTAGCATGGTCCATTTGGGTTGCATATCATCAGGACAATTTGTTAGGATGGACTTTGAGAGAAGGTTATTTATGGTTTATTAATATATTATAAGTTATAATATATTAATATGAAATCATATGTTTTAATTAGTATCGATCAAGAATTAATTTGGAATTAATTTAGTGATCAAAAGAGACTAATTAAATCTATGGGGACTAATTATGAAAATTAGTTATATTTATATGTGTTGGGTTATGATCCATGTTGGACCAAGTTTATGTATGGATACATAAAGAGTTGGGCCACATGAACCATGGATCATAAAACCCATGGGTATGGATTATGGGTTATACCCATGACCCTTGGAATCCTACATATAAATAGGTTACTCCATAGCCAAAATCACCACTTCTTTTCTTAGAGAAATATGGAGGTGTTTTGGTGCATGAATTCTCTCTCAAGAGCCACCTTTGTCCTAGGTGTGTTGTGATTCCATTTGAGGCATTTCATACTATTGGTGCTAAGCTCTTAAGGCCAAATACATCAAGACTTCAAGCCACATAAAAGGTATGTTTCCCTAACTAGTATATTATATGGTTTATGTCAAATGCATGCTAGTTATAGGTTTAATGCCTTGGAAACCATTTGCATGTATAATTAGTGAAAACATAGATCCAAGGTATTTAGGGTTGTATGTGCACCATAGGATGTTGTATGATACCAAAACCCAACAGTTGTAATGCATCGGAATTGTCTGAATTCAAACGAAACAAGGTTTGGAGATTAATTCCTGAACCTGAAAATGTTTCGATTGTCGGGTTAAAATGGATTTTTAAATATAAAACCGACAAAGATGAAAACATTATTCAAAATAAAGCCAGACTTGTTGTTAAAGGCTATTCACAACAAGAAGGAATCGATTATGAAGAAACCTTTGCCCCTGTCGCAAGACTCGAGGCGGTTCGAATATTTCTGGCTTATGCAGCTCACAAAGATTTTGATGTTTATCGAATGGACGTGAAATGTGCATTTCTTAATGGAGAGCTTGAAGAAACGGTTTATGTGGAACAACCCCTAGGTTTTATTAACGAAGAATTTCCTAATCATGTTTATATTTTAGATAAGGCAGTTTATGGTCTAAACCAAGCACCACGAGCATGGTATGCAACACTTACATCATTTTTGAAACAATCTAAATTTAAACAAGGTTCTGTTGATCCCACACTATTTCGAAAGAAAGTAGGGAATCATCTTATGCTTGTTCAAATTTATGTTGATGATATTATTTTTGGCTTGACTGACCCTGCTTTGTCTAAAGAATTTGAAGATTTGATGAAAAGCAAGTTTGAAATGAGCATGATGGGAAAATTCAATAATTTCCTTGGATTGAATATTCGTCAAAAACGGAGAAGGGATTTTTATCAATCAGGAAAAATATACGAAAAATCTGCTTGAAAATTTTGGATTGACCAATAGCACAAAGCTTTGTGTACCAATGGCAACGAGCATAAATTTAACACCATCGTTAGACAAACCAGCTGTTGATTTAACGTTGTATAGAAGCATGATAGGTTCGTTACTTTATCTTACAGCAAGTCGACCTGATATCATGTTTTCTGTGTATAATTGTGCTAGGTATCAGTCTAATCCACGCGAACCACATCTTACAGCTGTGAAGAATATTTTTCATTATCTTAAAGGCACTATTTCGTTAGGATTGTGGTATCCATCGAAAATAGGATTCTTCGTTCAAGCATACTCAGATGCCGACTTGGGTGGTTGTAATCTTGATCGAAAAAGCACAAGTGGTGGATGTCAATTACTTGATGGAAAATTAGTCAGTTGGTAGTCGAAAAAGCAAACATGTGTGTCGATTTCCACGGCTGAGGCAGAATATGTGGCTGCTGCTGCATGCACTTCGCAAATAATATGGATTCAAAGTCAATTACGTGATTATGCAATTAATATGAAAAAGATTCCATTATATTGTGATTCTCAAAGTGCAATAACAATTTGTCATAATCGTGTGCAGCATTCGAAGACTAAACACATAGCTCTTCGTTATCATTTCATTAAAGATCACGTGGAGGATGGAAATATTGAAAACAACTGATCAGTTAGCTGATATTTTCACGAAAGCTTTGGATGAAAAGTCTCTAATGAGAATAATAGAAGGTCTTGGAATGATCGATGACAATTCTATTCCGTGCGAAAAAGATGAATACTAAGCGAAAGAGAATGAGTCAGAGGCGATGAACAAAGTTATTTAGCATTCAGCGGTTACTATTCATAGTCAACACTTCGACCGCTTCGAATTCGCATGATTGTCACTGATCTTTAGCGTTGCATCAGTGGTTACTGTTTATAGTCAATGCTTCGAATGCTTCGAATTCGTACATTTGTTACTTTTCAAAGAATGTCAAATTTTGTTTGTTTGCAACAAATCAAAAACACAAAAAGATTTTCTTTTATTTTGTCTTTAAATTTTCGAAAAATTAAAAATCCAAAAAGATTTTATTTTGTTTTGTCTTTAAAATTTTTGAAAAATTCAAAAATTCAAAAAGATTTTCATTTTTTTTGGCTTAATTTTCGAAAAATTCAAAAACAACAAAAATATTTTTCATTTTTTTTGAGAATTTTGTTACAGATATTGATGATGATTTGGAAGGGAAAAAGCAGACAGTATTGGGGACAAGTAATTTTTTTTTTCATTCGCATGCATCACTACCTTTTCATTATTCGAATTAGTAAGGTTGTCCCTAGAAACATGCTGCTGGATGTCGACCAAAGCCTCCATGACTCAATGTGTGTGTACGAAAGCCTTAATGAAATTTTCATACGAAAAATTCTTCCCAATCAAGCTAATATTCACATTAGTCTCTGAGCTACCTTACTCTTCTCACAATGAGTTAAGAGTTTTCTGTTTGGTCCAAAACATAACAGAGGTACTTTTCGTGTCTTACACCAATCTTTTTCATCAATATATTCTTACACGATCAAACACAAAGACGTATGTCCGAGAGGTCTCTGATCAAACCCATCGAGACTTAGACATATAAAAATTATGTGTTAATGATCTGATATCATGAGTCCGTGATGAAAGTGAAACCCAAACATCTTGAAACTTAAGGAATTGACGGGGAACATTGTTCCAGATATTAACGAAACTTTTGTTTCTGTACCAAAATTCGAAACTCCAAATCATATTCATTTCGAATGTGTGGTCTTGATCAAACATTCGAAACCCAAGATGTTTGTTACCCAACAAGATCTAGAACATAATTTTTTTTATGAATATGCTTTCAGTGTGAGTTTCATTCGCATATCCTTGTCATGATCATATTTTTCAAAGCAAACTTGTTACTGACTACACTGGTCAAACAAGTAATTTCTGTTACAATTTATCACCTTATGTTTAGGATGACATGTAACGAAATTTTAAACCAACCCAAGAATTACTTTTAAAAGAGCCCTTTGATGCTTATCGAAAAGTAGTTGATTGTACTTCACGGGAACATACACAAGCTGTTGATCATCTCTCTTGATGATTAACGAAGCAACCTTTGCCCAGGGTTTATCTGCATTTGTGCCAAATTGAATTTTTGACATCACGACATTCCAAATTTTATTAATTGTTTCTTGTCTAACCTTTCTTTGGTACACTTCACACACGAAATCCTTGAGGTTCTGAGTAATACCAACTCAGGCTGATGTTTCGAACATCTGGCATATGACTTCGCTTTTCATCCCAAAAGTGAAAGAGCCTTGCCTCCATTCGAAGGGTTCTAAAGGTTACTATTCAATAAAGGGGATTGTGACAGGCTGTGTAACCATGACGTATGGTATTCAACCTGGTACATTCTATGCTTACGCGATCAAACACTCTAAGATTCCTAAAATTCTCTGTTCTTCATCTTCTTCAAACCCTAACAATGGCGACTACTTCTCATGTTGATGCTTCCACTAAAGATACATCTTCAGTACCAGTTATAAAGATTCAATCTACCAACTATTACGTAAATGGTGAACTTTCACAGTGTCCGGAGGAATTTAAAATGCTGATTGTTGCGTTAAAACACTCTATTTTATCTAAAGCAATGTTCAACTCCTTTTCTGTTCCATTATCCTGACTTTCTCAAGCAGGATCCACAGCTACCTACAATAAAGGCACTGATGTGATTACCGTTCTTTTAATCAAGGATAAGAAGGTTAGGCTTTCCAAGAAACTGTTTTGCAAGATTCTTGATATTCCAAATACACCTCCGTTTCTTGAATTTCAATTCTCTCAAATCATACACATGTTTAATGAAATGGGATATCAACCCCTATTATCAAAGATCAGTGATTTTAAGAAGTATGGTCTTCCAAAAATATGGAATTTTTTGTTTGGAATATTTTTGCGTTGTCTAACCGGAAGAACAGTTGGCTTGGATAAAGGACGAGTGGAGATATATGCCATGGTGGCTGGTCTGTACTATGATCTTCCTGCTGATTATTCAACACAACTATGGTAGGAGTTCCAGAAAGGTGTAGAACACACAAATGTTGTCCATGGCATTTCGTGTGCTGGGTACTGGAGTTTTATTTTACAACATTTCTACAACAAGGAGGGTATTTTGGTCTCTACTAAAGAAGAAAAGGTTACTTTTCAGTCTTATCATTTTCCAAAGGAGGTTGTTGATGATGCTGATGAATTCCCAAGTGTTGCTCGGATTCCCGATGCAATGCTTAAAAGAGTAGATCCTTCGAATCCTGTCTTGCAGGAATGTGTAAAAACTTTTGATTCTTCTATTCCTACGGGATTTTTATTACCACGCGAAGCAAAGAAATCTAAGAAGTCGAAGAAAGATGAGCCTACTTCTCCTGCGAAGAAAGCGAAGGTTTCAACCTCATCCAAATCCACGACGCAGAAGCAAGAAAATGTTGTTGTGACAATCGAAGAAAGATGTGGTGATTCCTTCGAAAACAGGGATTTTCGAAGAATCAAGATGAAATCTAAGCACAAGCGCAAATATTCATCTAAGAAACTGCTTCGCAAACCTCAACTTTCTCATCAAGGAGTAATGTTTCGTGAGGTTCATGTTTCTGTTTCTCCTGCATCCAAGAAAAGGGCAGCCGAAGATATGGCGAAACATTTATCTCAACCAACGAAGAAGAAGACGAAGAAGGCTAGGAAGATTGTTTTATCCAATGAGTCTACTGAAGAGGATGAACGAGTACCAGATACTCCTGAAGTCACCTCTATTCTTACAAGCTCAATTCCAGAGACCACTGTCATATTCACCCCTGAAGTTTCGATTGCCAAGTCACTTGTTGAGGAGGTTCGAACTTCAGGCTTGGGTGAAAATGTTTCGAAGGATGCAGCTCAAGGTTCATTTATCTCTACTCCTTTTGAAACATTTGTTTCTGTTCCACCAACATCAACCATTCCTCCTACTTCAACTACTATATCTCCAACATTTGAACACATGCTCAATCAACCAATCACTTCCATGTTCTCTTCTCAATCCACTGATACCCCCAAACCAACTTCACCTACTGAAATTGATCATGAAGGGTTTGGAGGAACATTCGAAGACTTGGAATTTCAAGATGACGAAGAAGATTTCCCTGATCACATGCTCATGACCATGAAACAATACAAGATTTTGAATCAAAAGTTGAACTCCATTATTCAATCCCAAGCTGATCTTGGAGGAGGTTCATCAATTTCTAGTTTGGAGGTTGATTCAATGCTAAAGATGTGTGAGTCCAGAATAATTGCCAAAGTGTCAGGGATGTTGAAGTCTTCTGAGACAGTGCTTATGGAGAAGGTGGATTATTCAGATCAAACAACTGAGCTACATCTTAAAAATCAACGATCTGATTTTCTGGGAGAAGTGAAAGATTTAAGAAGTGTAGAAAAAGAACGACATGTTCTTTTTTTTCAGGAGGTGAAGAAGGTTAGAGAAGATATGAATTCAAAAATTCAACAGCTTCATGAAGAGATGAACAAAGAAATTATATCTGTTCAACATGATTATGCATCCTTACACCAGAAGGTCGATATGATATGTGATGCAGTGACAAAGTTCGTTAAAATGTATGAAGGTTTGGGTCCACAAATTGCTTAAAATTCCCAAATCTGAAGCTGAAAATTTTGAAGGAGTGATGAAGCCGTTGAAAGAGCTGAAGGAGATATCCACAAAACCAGTTTCATCTCCCTTTATTAATACTGAATTTTTGTCCCAAGAGTTTGTGCAGTTCGAAGCTATTCTTAAAAAGCAACTCCACTCTTTCGCATATCCAGTCTTCTTCCTACAACAACTGCCCCTCCTATTTTCACAGGGGTGCAAGGGGGAGAAAGGAAGTCCATAGAAGAAGAAGCGAAAGTTGTGGGCAAGGTATTTTCTTCGAAAATTCCTTCAATGAAGCCAGTGTTTATGTCTGCTCAACCAGTAACTTCAACAATTGTTACAACATTGCCAACTACACGAACAATTTCGAAAGGAATTGTTATTGGTAAACCTTTGGAGTCTAGTGGTAGTGGTTCGAAGCCAAAACACTTAGCTGAAAAATTTGCTTCGAAAGACAAAGGCAAGTCAATCTTAATTGAAAAATCCAAGGAAGAAAAGAAGGCTAAAGTTGAAGCTGAACTCGAGAGAATGAGGCTTCTTCAAAGCATCATGACTCAGAGGGCTGGAGATCCAAAGGGTATGAACAAAGGTGATCCAGCTAAGCATTACAATTATGAAACAATCGAAGCCTTGGTTGCCTTTAACCACATGTACTCACTCGAAAAGAGGCCAAAACAGAGTTATGTGGTTACAAACACTGATGCTTGTCACCTTGTAACACCCCAAAAATACGAGCCAAAAAATTCATTTTTAAATACACATACTTAGCAAAACATTAAATAAAACATTCACCAATCATAACATTTCATAAAAGATGTACGTGTCTGGAAACCAGTTATAAAAACATAATAAAGTCAGAGTACAAATCCCCAGGACGATCTCATAGTGCGGAATACAAAGCGTGTGTGTGATGTGCTGCTACCGCGCGAGCTCCTTCCCCCTTCGAAGAAGAGGTACCTGAAACCAAAACTGAAAACTGTAAGCACGAAGCTTAGTGAGTTCCCCCATCATACCACATACCATACAATCACATATCATACATATTGCCAGGCATTTCTGGGGTGCCCGACCTACCCGGTACGGCCATTCTGGGGTGCCGACCTACCCGTGTCAAGCCATTCTGGGGTGCTGACTACCCATGTCAAGCCATTCTGGGGTGCTGACTACCCTTCGGTCCTAGCGACCAAAACCTAGGAGACTATTTCACCCCCTACTGCTACTATCATATATATCATAACATAACATATTATCAGACATATCTGGGGTGCCTGAACTACCCTTTGGTCCTAGCAAACGAACTCGGGGATTGGTCCCATCCTACTACCTCTATCGCATATAACATATTAGGCCAACATGCAAACATATAATCACATACTATCAGACGTATCTAGGGTGTCTGAGTACCCTTCGGTCCTAACAACCGAACTCTACTACTATCACATATAACATATCATGCTAGCATATAATATATCAGGTAGTAGCAAACCTAGATGATATCACATAGACAATAATATATCATACATCTCCTACTGGTGGGCCGGCATTGTGGCCTTAGACCCACCGCTACTGGAAGGTAACTCACCTCAAAGTAGCTACTGAACAGATCGGAAACTGACTGTCTACTGTTGTTGCTGCTTCGGACGTCCTCCGGCTATAAATCCCACAAAACGATCAATCAAACACTGCTAGATGTTCTTAGGGTAAAAATGACCCTTTTACCCTCAACCAGGTCGAAATCCAAGTCAAAGTCAACTTCCAGTTGACTGGACTCGCCGAGTCCACGAGCAACTCGCCGAGTCCTTCCCTTACTAATCCGGTCCCACTCGCCAAGTCCCTCTCCCCACTCACTGAGACACCCTTGACTCACCACTCGGAACTATCAGGCAGACTTGAGTACCGACTCACCGAGTTTGAAGAACAACTCGGCGAGCTCCAGGCAATCTTCATAGGACTCGCCGAGTTGTTCATCCAACTCGCTGAGTTGTTCATCCAACTCGCCGAGTCTAAGACCATCTTCATAGAACTCGCCGAGTACCACTTTGGGACTCGCCGAGTTCCTCGACCCATTTCCCAAATAGGCCAGATCTGAGACATGCAATGCTTCAAAACCACAGATCTATGATCCTAGGGCATGTCTACCACGTAAAGTTGCAAACTTTACGTGCATACATGGCCCAATGAGCTCAAACATGCAATTCCAAGCTCTTTAAGAGGTCCTACACTCAATAGGGACCTCAATCACCTCAACCACAGAGACTTTATGCTACTAGGATGTCTTAAAGGTCCAAATCCGAAGTCCTTGCAGAACATTAACCATAAACACATAGAGATTTAGGTTCTTAGGGCTTAAAACCTCTTTTTTAGGGATAAGAAAGGGGGTTCAATGAACTAAAGGTCAAGGTAGGAACTTTTCTACCTGAATAGAAGCCCTTCACAGAGTATATTCCGGATCTTCTTCCCTTCTTGCACTCTTCAACCTTCTCATTCTTCTCCAAAGCTTTAAACCACCTTCAAAATGCTAAAAATCACCCACAAGGACACAAAGGGGGATAGGGTTTCTTTCTACAGATCTCTGTGAGTGCTAGGGGTTGTGGAGGCTAGGTTAGAACGTTTAAATAGGGTGCAAACACCCGGGTTAGGGTTTTAGTCCAGACAGGGTCTACTCGCCGAGTCCCGTGACCCTACTCGCTGAGTAGCCAGAGTTGATCCCGTGACTAGACCTGCTTCTACTCGGCGAGTTAGTCCTTCAACTCGCCGAGTCCAAGGTTAAAATGCAAAACATAAGGAGAGTTAATAATCAAGAATACATACCAGGAACCAGGTGCTACAAATCTCCCCCACTTATTTTAGACTTCGTCCTCGAAGTCTGCTGCTCGATCCTAAAACAGTTCGGGGTAATGCTCCATCATTTGTTCCACCGGCTCCCAAGTCCACTCGGACCCCTTTCAGTGTTGCCACTGCACCTTCACTAACTCCACCCTCTTGTTCCTTAGATCCTTCGACTTCTAGTTGAGGATTGCGACTGGGCGCTCAATGTAATTCAGGCTGTCATCAACCTGAATATCCTCTAATTGTACCACCGTTGAATCATCCACGATACACTTCCGTAGCTGGGAGACATGGAAGGTGCTGTGGATCTGGCTGAGCTCGGCTGGCAGATCCAGCCTATATGCCACCTTGCCCACCCGGGCTACAACCCTGAACGGACCAATGAATCTCGGGCCCAACTTGCCCCGCTTCCTGAATCGAATGATGCCTTTCCAAGGTGACACCTTCAGGAGAACCATATCCCTGACCTGGAACTCCATGTCTGATTGAAGCTTGTCGCCGTAACTTTTCTGCCGACTCTGTGCAGTCTGTAGCCTGCTCCGAACCTGCTGAATCCTCTCGATAGTCTTGAGCACCACTTCGGTGCTCCCCATAACTCTCTGTCCAAATTCTCCCTAGCAAATCGGGGTCCTGCACCTCCGTCCGTACAACATCTTGAATGGAGGGCAGTCGATACTCGCATGGTAGCTGTTGTTGTACGAGAACTCAGCCAAGGGAAGATAAGTATCCCAGCTACCACCAAAGTCTAGCACGCACGCCCGCAACATATCCTCCAGAGTCTGGATGGTCCGCTCGCTCTGACCGTCTGTCTGCAGGTGAAAGGCGGTGTTAAAATGCAAACGAGTACCCAACTCGTCATGAAACCTCTTCCAAAACCTGAAAGTAAAACGCACATCCCTGTATGAGATTAGAGATACTGGCACCCCGTGCCGTGCCACAATCTCCCTAATATAGATGTCAGCCAATTTCTCGGCCGAAATGCTCTCCTGAATTGGAATAAAATGGGCACTCTTGGTCAATCGATCCACGATGACCCAAATCGAATCTACTCCACGCGCGGTCCTGGGAAGCTTCGTAATAAAATCCATCGTGATATCTTCCTATTTCCACAACGGAATATCCAACAGCTGCATCTTGCCGTGCGGTCTCTGATGCTCGGCCTTGACCTTCCTGCAGGTCAAACATCGCTCGACGTACCATGCCACATCCCGCTTCATGCAGGGCCACCAATAGTCCATGCGAAGATCCCGATACATCTTCATCGCCCCTGGATGAATAGAGAATTGGGATTTGTGTGCCTCCTCCATCAAGATCTGGCGCACGCCTCCATGATACGGCACCCACACCCTACGGTGTAGTTTCAATAACCCCCGGGCTATCATAATCGAAAGAGGTGACTTGACCCACTATTCGCTCACTCTTCCGATGCTCTTCCTTCATAGCCTCCTGTTAGGCCTCTCGAATCTGCTCCAATAGAGGAGTCACCACGGTCATCCTGATGCAAACATCCCTGATCGACGCCGCCTTGCAGCTAAGCGCAACAGCCAACACATTGGCCTTTCCCAGGTGGTAAAGGGTCTCGCAATCATAATCCTTTTACCACGTCCAACCACCGACGCTGTCTCATGTTCAGATTCGGCTGATCCATGAGGTACCTCAAGCTCTTGTGGTCCATGTAAATGGTACAACGAACCCCGTAAAGGTAATGCCGCAATATCTTGAGGGCGAAGACCACCGCCCCCAAATCCAAATCATGTGTTGGGTAGTTCGCCTCGTGAGGCTTCAGCTGCCTCGAGGCATAAGCAATGACGTGCCCCTTCTGCATCAACATTGCACCTAAGCCTGAGATCGACGCATCACAATATACCACAAAATCCTCCACGCCCTTGGGCAGGGCTAAGATCGGCGCCTCGCACAATCTCTGCCTCAGATTCTCGAACGTTGCCTGCTGCTCAGGCCCCCATCGAAAGACCACGGCTTTCCTAGTCAACCGTGTCAGGGGTACGGCTATCTTGGAGAAATCCTGAATGAACCTCCGATAGTAGCCTGCTAATCCTAGGAAACTCTGAATCTCAGATGGAGACTTCGGAACCTCCCATCTCATCACGGACTCCACCTTGGCTGGATCTACTGAAATCCCGTTCTGGTTCACAAGGTGTCCGAGAAAT